GTCAGCGGTATGATACACATCCTCACACGCATACCCCTGTTAGTATTATCACAGGCCGGCGATGTTCACCGCCTCTGAGCCCCTTGAACCTCGGGGAGTACATCGCACGGGCCGAGATTCTGGACACGCTGTGCGCAACAGCATCCCCTTTAACCAGATTCTTTTCGTGGGTGGACTCGTATTACCCAGTCATCTTCTTCTGCGCAGGTGTTGTTCCTGACGTCCCGCCTCATGCGCGACTTGCCGGGGAAAACACCGTGGAGGGTATCCTGTTTGGAGTTATCGTCTAAAGTACAGCTCCGCGTCGCGTTTTCGCCGATAGTACGGTGAGAATTTAGAAATCTACAATGCAGTTGATCCCTGACGCGTCCGTGCATTGTTTTTGAACACGGGGTCAGAGATTCAACAAGCACTTATCAATATGAATGATATGATCGGTCCCTGCGAGTTGGCAACCTTATTGTTTGATTTCTTTCCCTAGTTCGCCAGACCATGTTTCAGAACCACGGTTGTTTCAGGTCCCAATTGCAAGCGCAATGTCAGACGTGGACAAGTGATGCAGGCATGAATGGACACATTGTTACATGACATGAACTCAAAACCTGCTAGGTAAGTGCCCACTACGCGAAAAAGGATGCAATAACTGTTGACACTCGCAGGGACTTGCAATCATATCCTTCATATTGATAAGCGCTTGACGTTGAATCTCTGACCCCGTGTTCATTTAAAAACAACGCACGGACGCGTCAGGGATCATTCACCGTACTATAGGCGAAAACGCAACAGGAAGCCGTACTTCAGACGATAACTCTCCTGTTTGTATCTCGCGCCGCTCTATGTGGGTTGTTCGAGCCATGAGAACCTCATGGTTACAGACCTCATACGGGTGCACTGGGGTGTCACTTGGGCTGCTACGCGTGCGAACCACAAGAAGTCATCCGATCTTTTGGCAGCCTGGTGCCCGGTCTGTTTCTCCAAGAGGCAACCACACAGCTCTATCAGCAACTGACTTGGCTTTGGCTCCCCATGCCTCTACGTCGGTTTATTCTACGTGGACAGGATTTAATTCGGTGAGCCAGTGCTCTCGCTCAATTGTAATGGACGCATGGCAGCGCAACGAGGCGTGGGCCAAACCCCATTGAATCCTGGCCGGCGGAAGCTATCTCGATCGAACCGCGGACAACACCGCAGGGTTGGACAAAGTGCTTAAGAAGGCACTCGAGGGCATAAACGCCCACCAAGCTGGTCTTCACTTCCATTGCCATTAACTCCAAGTGCCGCGCAGTAAGTACCACTCGTCGTGTTGATAATCGGCTGATTTGGGCTTTGAACAGTTTACACAACTTTTCATTTCTCTCTCATCATTCACTCCTCTCGCAAATCATGCACTTGTGCAAACTCGCTGCTCTCCTCGCTGCCGGTGTCATTGTCACCGTCTCTGCGATTCCCATCCACAATGTCGTCCCCGCTCTGTCCTTGCGAGATCTAGAGCCTGCGGACCGAAACGAACTAAGCGCCCGATGGCTAGACCCCGATCTGGATGCCCGTACGCTACGATTTTTGCGTGATATTAGGAAATGCTCATTCAAGGTGTGTCCTTTCCTCTCCATCACACCACATAGAAGCTGAGCAAGAACAGTTGAGGCAAAAAGTGAAATACAACGGACCGCCAACAACATACAAGAAACAGAAAAAACCGTCAACAACAGGCCAGGAAGAGGAAGAAGGACAGGTGGGCGTAATCGTGAAGGTGCCTGATCCTGGGGTGCGTGAATTTTCGGTCTTCAACAAGAAACTTCTGACGGGGAGGCCAATAGTCAGATATATACAAGGTTTCCTTCCGTCAAATGGAGAGGGATAAGCGGGGAATCGGGCACGCTCAGTACCGACAAGATTATATCAAGTGTACCGATCTGCGGTCTGCGTAGAGATAAACCCCGCGCGCTAAGATGAAGATCACCGGCCACTGAAGAAGGGGTCTGGTTGTACCTGGTCGGGAACGTGCGGGTGTACATATCTTTCACGTGTGACTAATGGATGTCGGTGTACATATTCCAATCAAGCTCGCGTTTATTGCCAAGGTCCTTTTGGAAGTGGCGCATGTCCTCTGTCTCATTCGGCCCTATTTTCTATCTTGCTATTGATACCCCTGAGGCTAGTTGCTGGTTGTAACTCCCCTTGCGGTGATCAGAGCCAAAAGCGGGAGTGAACTTGTGATGGACGGTGCAGAAGGGGCGGATTGACAAGACTCACAAGATCGAGTATGAACTCCACCTGACCGTTGTAAAGCAGAAAATGAATGAATTAATATCAAGAGCATGCGGGGAATGATCGGCAGCTGATCAGGGTCTATTCTATATCGGGTGCATTCCAGTGATTCCGGAAGCCGATTGGAGTCTGTGAGGAATGTTCGTCGTCAGGGGGTTCACTCTGGGGATTTTACTCTTCTCCCTCGACGCCCTCCTCGTTCTCCTCGACCTCCTCGACGTCCTCAACCTCCTCGACGTCTCCAACCTCCTCAAACCTTTACCTCGACTGGACTGGTGCTCTTGACCTCCCTCGCACACTCTGCTATTCCACTCGTTTCATATCGTGTCTCTACTGTTGCACCTGTGCATCAGTTCATCGCATCATCAACTCTACCTGCTGGCAAACATCCTCCTACATCACACCCTACACCCTCTGTAGGAGAGCATGTCGACACCTGCACCTTCACACCCAACAGGCACTCTTCGCTCTCTCCGTCAACGATTCTCCCTCTCTCGTCCTTCCACCGCGCCTTCTCCACCAGCAGCGTGCTCCTACATCCCATCCACGCCCTCTCCTGCACCACCATCATCTCACCTCCCCTCCCCTGCGCCTTCCGCACCCCCAACAACATACAAAGGTCATTCAAAACGACGCAGCTTTGGGATATTCACCAAACCACGGCGCTCGGGCATCTCCAACCAGGATGTAAGAGATTGGGAGTCGTCGGAGGGGAGGAACAGCGATCTTGCGCGATCGGAGGGGTATGGGGAGAGGAATACTCTCGAGTTACCGAGAGAGAACGGTCCAACGAATGGATTCCCTCCTGGCCTTGAAAATATTTACCAGCAGCAACAGCAGAAACAACAACAGTATAAGTACGTACATGCATATATACAACGCGTAGGCTGACATTACGCAGCAGTCGACCAATGTCACCAACTTACCTATCAGCCTCAGTCCCGAACGCGACACTCTACACGCCGAACATCCCCGCCCCTTCTCCCGGTGTCTATCCCTCTCAAGTCTACCCCCTCCCGCAACTTTATCCTTCTCCCTCCCCAGCACTCTACGCTCCTCTCCCCGCTCCCTCTCCTGTACCCGGGCAGTACCCCGCCCCTTCCCCCGGCATGACCATCCAGCTCTTGCCAGGGCAGTATGACGATCCCGCACTCATGCTGTCCAAAGTGAGGGAAGCGATGGCGCATATCCAGGGGATGGTAGAGAGTGTCGCGCTTGCCCGCGCTGCCTCTCCGCTTCCTTCCCCTCCACAGGTTTCTCCTCTTCCAGGCCTGCTTCCTTTGACGACTACGCACCAGCCGCCATTACGCACGTCTACACCTCAGAATGTCACCCCGGAGCAGCTGACACAGTCAGTATCCGATACTACAATTTCAAGCATAGCGACGATCACTCCAGCACCTCGCAAGCCTGCACCATTAACCCTCACGCTTACTCCAAGCTCCCCGTCACCCCCCAGACCGAGTCCAGCGGCGCCGAAGCGGAGCAACGCCGACCCCTCTCTCCCCCGGCCTAGAAAGGCGAGCACAGGCCCGAAGGCTGGAGCGAGGGATGGCCAAGTGTTGTTCCAGCGCGCTATCTCCCCGATTGCGCAGAGGCAGCGTGTGGACAGCCAGAGTGGTGGGACGCCTTTGTCACCTTCTGCAGTGGGTGCGCGATCGCCGAGCGCTGCTTCAGCTGGATTTGGCGCTCGTTCCCCCAGCTCAGCCTCCGTTGGGTTTTCCGCTCGCTCCCCTAGCGCAGCCTCTCTTTCAGGAATTCGTTCCTCTAGCGCCGCATCCAAGAGAGACGTACTCACCGAAGCGGAAAAACGCATGCCGTGGCGCGAGCGGCTCGCACTGAGGCGGGAGAGGCAGGCGGAGCTCGGCGTGCGGGCAGGGTTTGTCGCTCCTGCTCCTGCTGGGACGTCTGGTAGACCGGCAGGTCCTAGATCGGCTTCTGTTTCTGGTTATGCGGAGCTGCGCAGAGCGGACAGGCCGGGCACTGAAACCGGCACAAGGCCGGGTACGGCGGGAGCTGTGGGAACGGCAGGTACAGCCGCAGGTGGGAGGCCAGGTCATTCGCGCCAGGTTTCGGGAGCGTCGGAGTATTTTTCCGTTAGGGGAAGGTCGCCGGATTTGAGGGAGGAGGATCTTCGCCCCGATGAGCGGGAGCATGAACCGTATGGCGACGAACACGAGCATGATCCCCGCGACGAGCATGATGCTGAGCACGAGCTTGATGCTGAATACGAGCAGGACGAGGTCGAGGCATACGCTGATGCCGAAGACAGCAGGGAGGTGGATCGTGAGCGGACGATGAGGACTGCAGACTGGCTCGGTGCTGGGCCTGGCAGGCGGGCACTACGCGCTGCTGGGTTGCTGGAGGAGAACGACAAGGAGAGGAGGGAGGAGAAGGAATCATGTCCGCCTACGGCAGGTAGTAGAACGGCGAAACGCGGGAGGTATACACCTTCGTCCTTATCCTTCGGTTCCCAGGATACGGCTACTCGGAGGCGTTCCGTACGTTCTGCCTCTGCTGCCTCAGCCGCTTCGGCAGCTTCGGGGACGACACCTAGCCTGGTGGTGGATTCCCATTCTCTTACCCCTACGACAGCGAGTGCGAGCGCTGCGACCCCCTCACCGTCCCCCTCCGCTTACGGGATCATGGAAGCGCCCGGGCTTGCGCAGGTGCTGGAGCTGCACAACCTGGAGAAAGGGGCTCTGCTGGGAGCGTTGAGGGAGAGTAAGGCGCGCGAGAGGGAGCGGGAGGAGGAAGTTCGGAGACTAGAAGCAGAACTTGGGGCTCTGAGGAGACGGATCGACGAGCTCGAGTTGGTTGTTGCTAAGCAGGTTCAGCAGCAGCAGCGAAAGAAAACGAGGCTTCCGATGCCGAAACAACGCGTAGCAAGTGCGGCAGCTTCATTTGGTGATCGTCCCCCCCGGCCTGCTGTAAAACGCAGCGGCTCTGTCACCACGCTGAATGCGCCCCTCGTCCCCATCTCCCCACCCAGTTCAGGGAGGTCACATTCCACCGGGTCTGACTCGCCCACGCGCGTATTCCGTCCCTTTCCCCTGGAGGACGAGGAATTGGTCACCGCTACCCCTCGCAAGTCGTACGTGCCTTCCACGCCTCGCAAGTGGCAGGAACCTGCTACACCCCGGATGCGGAACGCGAACGTGAACCCGCGAGACGATGAGGAGGGGAGTGGGGGTGAGAGTGGAAGCGAGAGTGAGAGCGGGAGCTTGAGGCTCAAGACGGAGGATGAGCGGCATCTACAGGAGTTTGTGGATGTTACGCTTGGACTGGGGAGTGATGATGAGAGTTTCTATTGATCGCTTGGAAGACAGACCTACGATTGGGTCTATTGTCTCGTTCTCCCCGGTGAGAGAATGCATTGTTCGGGGATATGCGTGTATCTGGATACCCGCTTTCTTGACGTTGGTGACGCGTAACGCTAACGCTGAGGACATGGGTTATGTTTATGAGATATGGATATCGTATGCTTGACAAGTTGTTGCCACGAGCATGTAGGACATGTTATGCCACTGTCGTTACTCCTTCAATATCAGTTTTTTTTCTACAGTCATCAGGGGATACTAGTGCGCACCACCACAACGCCGAACCAGGATCCTGTACTGGAACGTGCTCATACCTGACTCTCAAGGGCTGTAATAGCTAACGTCTTATCATCGATTTGTCTCTTTTTCTCCGCCACGATGCACAGCTACAAATTGTGTTGTCAGAATACCGGGCCCCAAGTCCTGTGTCCTTTGACAACTTTCGAAAAAGGCTGAATGAGAGGTAAAATTTGGGGCGCATACCATTGGTTGACTGGGAGACGAGGTCACCTACGTAGAGAGACTCAGCGATGATATGGAGCCCGAGCCATGTTTGTCGGCAGATCTTAGACGCCCGCTTTAGCCCGTGACGCTATTTCGCATGTTGAATTCGTACTGTGGTTTAAAGAACTGTAGGATACTCTGTGCTATGTACAAGCATCACACCTTGGATACTGATATCAAGTCTTTCGGCGTGCAATGAGGGTAAGTTGACAACCGCCGCTCCCTGCTCCTGCCCCTTTGTTAATCTTCCACTGAAACCAACCTGCAAGTGCATAATCCCTGGGACAGTCGGAATGTTATTTCAACTCAATATTTCCTCGGGTCTCCTAGCATCGAGGAGAATATATTTACCTTCATTCCGGATACCGTAGCTATTGTTCGGATTCATTGTGTTTCGCAGTGGCTGCTTTCCAATAGAGACCATTGTCTTCGAAGGGCGTGGCTGCCAAGATCCACAATAATCTCACCCTGACTTGAACCAACAAACGTCCGAGCAGCTGAGGATGAAAGACCGCATCATCATCGAACAGGCCGTAGTACTGTACATGGAAATGAGCAGGTTCACGTGCGTAGGATCTTGCACTACAGGGTGCAACCTCTTGCCCAGAGATTCCCCAGGTGCTTTCTGGTGAGGTGCGTGAGGAGCAGAAGGCAATAAACCCAGACATCACTCACTTATCCGTCACATCAAAGAGGTCACCATCCAGTGGGTGAAATTGATCGGTGCCGCCAGAAATCCCCGCCTTGATGATGCCCGCCTCTGCTGTCCTTACGGTCAATGCCACGTCTCTGATGTTGCAAGATGCGGAACCCGCAGACTCTGCGGGTGAACTACACGCCCGATTCCTTGACAAGATCAGGGACATGTTCACCGACCCCTGCACACGGTGCGCAAGAAAGTGAGGCGGTTGTTAGGGAAGACGGAGCCGGGGAAACCGTGCGGCGGCAACGTATGCCTTGTCCTTTCCTGGAGAGTCTCTGCTAAACGTGAGCAGATAGAAGAGGTGCGCTGGTTGCACGACAGGAAGGTTAAGATAGTTCGCAGGATTAATGTACCGTACAAGGTGAGTGATGATAGTCTATTCCTGCGTTACGGGCGTCTGACTGGGAGGCGGTCAGATGTTCCAAGTAGTAGTTGAGTTTCTCAACGGGGGTGGGGAGGAGAGCGTGGCGTGTAACATGGTGACTGAAACGCGAGGAAAGTCATGATGAAGTAGTAGTGATTGTGCAATTTTATGCCTGTTTGGTGTGGTGAATTTACATAGATGACATTTCTGTGCAGTGCAGACATGGTCGTAAAGTACACACCTTGTAAGGGTGCAATATCCCCGTCAAGCACACCGTCGCCTGCTCTCCATCTTTCTTTTCTCTTACACTCTAGTCCGCCAGTTAACGTCCATGCCGACCTCCTGGCTCTCCCCATCGTTGACATCGCCCGCAAAAGCGCGTCACAACCTCAACGCACGATCCATCCCCTCCAATCTTTATGTCGTCCTCACCACCGCCGCTATCTCAAGCATGTTCACTCTCCTCGGCGTGCGCGTCTATGCTCGATACGTGCGCAGGATACCCAGTTCCGAATGGGTAAATCCCAGGATCCTAGCAGAGAAGAGGTGGATCAGGGGAAAGGTCACCAGGTGCGCGCGATCGATATACGTGACGGTGGGAGGCTCAGTAGGCAGCGTGGGAGATGCGGATAACTTTAGGCTGTTTCATACGCCTGTGCTTACTCGGGGACGGTGGAGGAAGGTTCCCCAGACTGCCCAGGGTATGTACCTAAGATGTTGCCCGAGTGATCGCTGACTGCTAGGACCAGAGCTGAAGGACCAGACGATACACATCCGCCTGGCGGGCGTTGACGCTCCCGAGGTGGGCATAGTGTCTCTATCTGCGATTTCCCTTCTAACTGATGCCAGCTCGCACATTTCGGCCGCCCGGCACAGCCCTACGGGCAGGAAGCGCTCGCCTGGCTTAAGTCGATGATCGAAGGGAAGACGGTCTATTGTCAGCTCTTCCGAAGAGATCAGTACGGCAGGGTGGTACGCTCTTCCGCATCTAAACATCTCCCCGGGTTAATGAGCGCTTAGGTCGCGACATGCGTCGTCCCGAGATGGTACCTTCCCCTCTGGTTGCGGTCGGGAAAGTGTGTCGAACTGGAGATGCTCCGCGCTGGCCTGGCGACGACATACACACAAGCGGGGGCAGAGTACGGCAAGTGGGGCGTGGACGAGTTCCAGAAAGTGGAGGAGGCGGCCAAGCGCGTTTTCCCTCTTCCCTCTTCTCGTGACCTGTCAATAATCGGGCGAGTAGGAAAGCGAAACGCGGCATGTGGTCCAAGATGTCAACGTACGAAAGCCCGGCGGATTATAAACGGCGATATAAGAAAGAAGAGACGGATGAGATGAGCAAAGCTATGGAGCCTGAGCAGCGAAACCGATGGAGAGGCATTTGGCCGTTCAGGTTGCTTTGACTCAACCACGGCCGATGTAGTATACATATCGGATTGAGCCCATGCCTCTTCGAAATATTTTCGGGCAGTGAGCAATACAGTGCCGAGAGATGTGCAACAAAGGGAGCATACTTGCGCGAAACGTGAGCGTCATTATATGCACGCTGACATAGTCTTCTTATCCCCCTATTTAGGATCTGCACCGCAGCAAATCATCGAATCATCGTCCGTAACCGTTACTTCACTAGTCGCCCTGGGTCTTCAGCGCGGCAGTTGAAAGCGTAAGAGCACTACACGGGACAGCTTTGTGATCATCCGAATCTAAGAAAACATCGTACAAAGGCTGTTGGCCTCCCATCAGAAATTTCCAATCTGACACCGAAGATTCACACATCTCCACTCGTTCTCCCAGCATTAAGCTGGATGACAATCTTGCCCTGGTGATTCTTGTATGTGACCTCGTCACCCATCTGGTCCTGATCAGCTGATAAGTTCTGAGATGTGGGGGAAAGAACAGACTTTGAATTGGGACGGCCTGGGCATCCTCATGCGTACGCTGCTCCTCCAGATCGGTGTCTAGCTATTGGCGTTCAGCTCGTGTACGTACTTCGCAAGTTCCGGATCGCGCAAGGATGGGTTCGGGGCGGAGTTGAGGACGGGAATCGCAAAGACGGCGATAGGAACACTGAGAGCAAAGACAGCAGCAAGTGTGCAAAAGTACATTATGTTTGTGGTAGGTAGAAGGATGAATGATGTGGGAGCGTCTCAAAGGCCAAAAGGGGGTGGTCAGTTTGATGGGGAGCGAGCGGGGGAGAGGCGAAGATCGCTCAGAAAGAAAGAAGAGGAAATCCGAGTCACTCGTCTTTGGTCGGGGGACACCTACGAAGAAGCTGACGTCTGAGGACGGAGCACGGGTGTTGAGTCCTGGGTGAGTCGGGAATTGGGAGCGCGCTTGGGAAGCATAGGTATTGTATACGAGAGCAGGTTGCAGAGAAACAGGATGATAGGCTCCGCCAGGGGCTCACTTCGTCAGCAACCCATCTGACAAAGATACTCTCCCATATTGAAATCCATCCACTGTTGCCCACACTCCTACAGAAACCCTGATCACACACAAATGTACCCTGCCTCAGAAACATGAACATCGACACAGTTTACACTGCATCAAGATCTATTATTATGCCCTGGAGCGGGATATGTACATCATCCAGGGAAAGCCATGCACCGTATCAAACCACTTGCCAGTGATTCTTTGCATGAAGGTTTGCGGGGAGTTGAGGTCTTCACATGCTCCCAGGAAAGGCCATGCACCGTTTCAGACTACTTGTCAGTGATCTTTTACATAAAGGTTTTCGTAGGTCTGAAGTAGTGACACTCTGCGGTAATCGGGTGGTCCTCGTTGTCCCACCTTCGAGAAACGAAGTGAACTTTGTACCTGTTCCGCTGCACGCCTTCCTGTCAGCACTTTCCATAGAAGGCGGAACATTGGCAAACCGTATCACCAGCTTCTGGTAGGCCTATAACGGTGCCCACTTGGCCGAAGTACCCGAGCTCTTTACCCATCTGCTCTTCTTCAGCTTATACACTTTGAGATAGTGTGAAGGACTGACCTTGAGTGAGCACCGTCTGTTGAGAGTCTTTCTCAGGATTGCACGAGGCTTGCTTAATAGCTTACGCTCCTCGAGATGATCGTCTGCCCATCGGGCGCTCAGGTCATTTGCGTAGGATACAGGCTCCACATCTCGTGTGGACAAGTTGGGGACCTTGTTGGTGGTTGGTAGCGCAAAGACTGCGAGAGCGAGGCTGAGAAGGCAGGCAGCGACGAGTTTCGATAAGTTCATGATGTTTGTGAGAAAAGTAGAGAACGAAAAAAGACTAGAATGTGAGAGCTGTCGAAACCCCAAGTCAGTCAGACAGTAGTGGTTGACCTGACGTGGTTGTGCGTACCGTCCGGCGCGTCTGTAATAATGGTAGTGGAGGGGAGAAGGAAGACTCGCTTGAGGCGACTTTCTTCCCTCCAGCCCCGGTTAAGAAGTAACGCATCCACACTCAACGTTAGGCAGTACTGCCTAACGTTGATCGCCTAGCCAACCGTGTTTGGGCAAGGGCGAGACACTGACGATCGAACATAGTGAGAATCAGGGTCGAAATTGTCGCTTGTATCAACAAATTCAACCTCCATGAGCCAGCAATAAGCAGACCAAACTCGGAGGTTAGAGTTTCATGCCATAGAAAAGGTGTAAGAGCATCTGACAGATCTTTTCAGACCAAACACCAAGTTATGTGAAAAACGAATGTTAACAACCGGTCGGAATCTTTCGTGTATTGGGGTGAGTTTGGGCCAGAAACAGCCTGATTCTCGATCGTTAGTGTATATACATATTAGGCGCCTTCACTCACGTGTTTGCAGGTCGAGGTGTTTCATTGGAGCTGACATAAGAGTCTGTGACCCGATCGGGACGGCCGGGTGATGTGAGCCGACCTTTCACTCACGCCACGCCACAATCACCGCGTGTTGACCCAAAATGCAATAGGGCATGGCAGGGTATTTTGGGTATTAATATTGGCAGGAACTTTCCTAGGCGGAACGCGCTTCTTTTTTCCGGATAGGATATAAACCTCCGTTTGAAACTACCAATCCAACCCTAGGACAGGTCTGGGCAACACGCGGTGAATATTGCGACTCTGGCGAAAAGAAGCACGCTTCTGTGAGAGCTTCACATCGCTTCTACGTCCGATGGATTTGGCCGTGTAGCACTAGTGCAGGTCAACTGCCTCAATCCGATCCACTTTAGCGAGTCCGATCCACTCTAGTGAGTTCGATCCAGTCGTGCTAGTCCAGTCCAGTCTCCAGTCCAGTCCAGTGCAATTGATAGCAAGTGAGGAATTAAGAAGGGAGAAGGAAGACCAAAGATCGATATCATGAAAGAGCTCGAGCAGGAGCATGAGAGAGCAGTGAAAGATGAGAAAACCCTTCGGAGCCGAAGTATTATTCCGTTCAGAGCGGAAGGATTCCCACCCTCACCCTTACCCTCACCCTCACCCACCCTCATCCTCTCCCACTCTCATCCACTCTCCTCACCCCTCACCCGGTCATGGCATTCCGAGCACTCCGCGCTCGGACAACTCTCAGCGCCAGCATCGTCGTACTCGGGACTGCAATCTTCGTCCGGCCTATGGTGCAGCTCGACGCCCCCGTTCCCGTTCCCAAATCTAAGGTGTGTCCTCTCGCGTCACTCCCCTGTCAACAGCTGACCCAAACGCTCACTCAAACGCTCCCAGCTACCCATCTACCCCTGCCCAACACCCGAGCTCATCTTACTCGACACTCCTTCCCAGCTCGAAGCTTCCATAGGCCACACACGGCGGGTTCTCACCGGCATCCTCCTCCAGGGGAGGAACAAGGTTCAGGAAGGGGTGGATGGGTGGATAGGGGTCGAGAAGTCTGTTGAACGTTTGTCTTTTTCCTGTTCCTGTTCCTCTGCCTCTTGGCTTAGGAGGTGCGGTGCACGGCACGGGTGCTTATGCGTTGATAGGAAAGGTCAAGCAGCTTATCCCTGCTGAGGAGCCTACGACACCTGGGATCCTATATGTAGGGGTAGCGACGCTCACAGGCTCCGTCCTAGGCCGGCATCGTACGCCCTCTTTCCCCTTCCCAAGTGCTCACTAACACCAGCGTAGGCCTGGCATACCGCCTCCTACTCCCTCCCGCATTCTTCATCGGTAGCATGGCATACTTCCTCCCTCTGACGAGCAAGAACCTATACGCCTACCTCCTCGAGCTAGAAACCCGGTACGCGCCTTCCCTGGGTGAGAAACATAGGGCTGCGGAGGAGGGGCTGCGTGGGGGGTGGGAGGGGGTCAGGCGGGGGGTGGAGGAGAACGGACGTTCGATCAGGGGAGAGGTGGGAAGGGGGGTGAGGGTTTTGGAGCGGGGGACGGGGGTGAGAGTTGGGGAGGCGTTTGGGATTCCTAGGGAGCGGAGGGTGGAGCCGGAGCAAAAGGAGCAACCGGAGCAAAAGGAGTCGGAGGGGGAGGAAGTGGGAGTGCAGAAGGTTCAAGAGAAAGTTGAGGAAGTTGAGGAAGTAAAACGGCTTGTTTGATTTCATACAAAATAAGGCATGACGCCCATTCCCTGCCTCTGCTGTCAGCCACCTGCATGCGTGCGTGCGTGCGGATCACTCACCCTACGCATCCCCACATCCCTCTCATTCTCCTTCGCCTCCGCAAACACCGTAAACCCCAGCCCTCCCCCCTCGCGTACAGCCAAAACACTCGCCAAGTTCCCACACCTATAACAATAATTCGGCGCGCTCCAAACAGTGACAAGCTTATGGTCGAACATGAACTTGTAGCCTTCTTGTACTAGCTGGTGGGCCCTGGCGATGAGGGAGAGGGAGTTGAGGTAGGTGAATTCGTGCGTTACGGGGCTGCCGAAGAGCCAGCCGGCGCCTCGGGGGGAGACGGCCCAGGTGGGGATGTCGTCCGGGTCTGACCACATGAGGTCTGGGGGGGGGGGGGGG